CCGATGTGCCTTCTAGACTTCTTCTAGGCTGTGCATAAGCATTCTGCGGCGTATGCACTCATGACTGACTACCCGGAACGTCAGGGCGGGTCAGCCCTAATTGTGCATCTTCACTTGGGGCCAGCCCAGAAGTGTTCAATCGCTTGAAGCCAAACACTACAGAGGCTGACCATCGAGAGATGATTGAGGTTGGCTTCAAGGGACTGGGGCACTTCTGATTGAAGAATACTAAAATTAGTATCAGCATCATGCTGTCTCCTGGACATTCATTTCCTACTTGATTCTATCCTGCAGCACCTCGGATCCATGCTTCCCCCCGCCGGGCGCCCCACCGGGCCGACACAATTAAGATCTTACAGCTCCACTTCACGAAGTAAGGGGATGGGGGAAGCGGTTGGTGAAGGACGGAGTGTGGGGTACGCAAGGGGAGAGCTGACTTTTATAATTCGAGCGGTTGCTACTTCAATACACACTCCGGTTTATATTTGTCTAATATAAACGAACGGCCTATTTGTCGGGCTATCTATACCGGCCCGGAACATAACCGGGCAGAGGTACGTCCGAAAACCCGATGCGGAACCCTGCTTCTGAGGGTTAAGCTCTGGTATATAAGCTGGGGGGTAGCAATTCAACAACCTCGATCTACTGAACGCAGCATGCCAACACATGTGTTAACTTGATAATTCACTCCGGTCCATCAACTTCCATACATCTCTCGAGATCAGCCAAGATCATGCCGATTGTCTTTCCCAACCAACTCGCGGCGTCCCATGCTGGCTCCGCTCGTCGCCTTCTGATCGGCGCGCTGTCCGTGTTGGCAGGCGCATCGTTAGCCAGCGCCGACACCAGCGATTTCCGGGGTGTCAACTGGGCTGTCCGCGGAGACAACTTCGTGGTAGGCCCCCTCGTCATCTACGGTTTGGAGGAGTCCGATGACTACGACACCGTCCGAGCCAAGGCCGACGCCGTCTACACCGGCCTTGAGGAAAATCTCGACATCAACACTATCCGACTCCCAGTTAACACCCATACCGTCGGCTCTGACTGGTGGGATGCCTATTCTGGCGTGATCGATTCTGCCATTGACCGCGATTTCAATGTGATCATGGCTTACTGGGAAGACGGTGCGGCCTCGGGAGGCCGGGTCAACGACATGGACGCCTGGAACACCATGTGGGACACCGTGATAGACCAGTACGGCAACAACAGCCTGGCCCACTTCGAGCCGATGAACGAACCGCACGGCTACAGCTCCACCGAGTGGACGGACATAACCGCCGACTGGGTCGAGAGACACTCATCACTCCCGAAAGAGCAGATCCTCGTGGGCGGTACCGGCTTCTCCCAGGATGCTAAGCCCATCTGCGCTGACACCCGTCTCGATGGGACACTGATTTCTTATCACGTCTACACCTTCTTCTACGGCGAGAATGATTACGACGGCTGGGTTCAAACCTTCCAAGACGGCCTGGGTGATTGTGCTTCGCGCGCGATCACGACCGAGTTCGGCGCGCCGATGGACACCGGTCTTGACTACAACGACGCCAACAGCGCGGACAACTTTGTCCAGTACTTGCGCGCCGTAACCGACTCCATGAGCGAACTCAGCATTGGCTCGACCTACTGGCCGGCAATCGGCGGCAAGATCACCGAAGGCCAAGAGGACGACTGGTACTCGATCCAGAAGATTGAGGGCAGCGGTACCGACCTGACCCTGACCACCCCCAACGAGTCCGGTGTCGACCTGCTCTGGCACGCCTGGGGCCTCGAGTAGAAGAAGACGACATCGCCTTCAGTCACGGCGGCTTGCATGGAGTTACACCACCTTAAAATGCTGGGCGAGGGAATCGTCATTGTGTGCAGCTCACAGTAGTATGGCATTGTATATAGAGTAAGAAATTGAAAATGTCCTCATGAAATGAAAGAGTCTAAGAGTCTTACATTGAATAGAGAAAATCTTTAGTTCGTAAATAAGGATGGGTTTCCGGAAGAGAGGTATAATCAAGTCATATAGTGAAGAATTGCCTGGCCGTGCGTTATAAGAGAATTTAGATAAAGATAATCTGCAGACATAAATTTGACGAGAACGTTCCAGAGTGGAAAGAAGGAGCTGATAAATTCCCATGGCTTGTGGTTATGGTGGTAGGCGCTGCCTCCGCGAATAACAAGCGTCAATATTGTAGTATATAAAATAATATTGCTTAGATACATAGCTTTTAGAGGGCTAATCGGGCAGCAGAGGAGCACTTGGCACATCACGGCCTGACCCTCCCCGCAATTTACTCAGCGGAACGAAGACGGAAGATGGCACATCCATGGCTCTCCACTGAGGCTTGAATGCTACCGTCAGACCCAATGGTGTCAACTACAGCGCCTAGAAGCATCTCGTTCCCATTGCCCAAGCCAGTCTCATAGGGTGTTGCCGTAGCGTTGTAGAGCAAGTCAGCGCTTCCAGCAGCGCCACCGTCAATAATCGACTGTGCCTGCTCCTCGCTCAATCGACCAGCCCATAGATCTCGGACCTCCCAGTTCCCGGAGGGGACAGTCCCGTTGACGAAGATATCGGATAGAGGTGCGGAAATGTCGATGGCGGACTCGCCAGTGTTAACCAGGCCAACAACCACGTCGTCGGCGCCGCCCGTTGTGGACTGCAACACTCCGCTCCAGAGCTGGGAATCGCCGTCTGTCCAGACGTTCACGGCTGGGGAGCCGAGTGGGTCCTGATTCACGGCAATAATCGCGGGATTGGCAAGAATAGATAAGTCAGCCGCCGGGAGTTCTGTGATACTGGAGCCCATGATCAAAGGACTCTTGAGCAATGACCCTAGAATTCATCATAGTATTAGCGCCTCGCCCGGGCGAATCGTAGATATAGGGGTCTCATGACCGCTGCTCGGTCCCTCCCTTGCCCACACCTTTTGCAGAGGGACATGATGAAGAAATGTGCCTAAGACGGGAGACTTACACATGCTGAAATGAGTCACGTATTCCGTGTCGCTCATGCCTCCGTTGCCGACTTCCAGCATGTCCAGATCGTTCCAGCCACCTGGGCCTCCCAATGAAGCTATCTCCGCCGCTTTGCTCAAGATACGTACCACTGAGCAGCCCCACCCGCCGGCACCGGGACTGTAAAGAGAAAAATCGTAAGAATCTCTGATATTTTCCGCAGCTTAACACCACAGGGCACAACTTACAGAGGGCAGCCCTCGTCTACCCCGTTGAATGAATCTGTAATGTCTCCCGACATGCGCCAGGAGTTGCCCATGGAAGGTCCCCATGACCATGGGTTGTCCTCGCCCCAATTACAGATTGCGTACAAGATCGGGCGCTCGGTAGCGACAAGAGCCTCTGCCATTGCATTGTATCTGAGTAGATAGGTTAGCGGAAGTCGGGCTTTGGAGGTAGGTAAAACGTGAAATATAGGAGGCAAAAAACGTTCGCCTCCGCATTTCGCGAGCACTCACCTTGCTGAACTGACTTCTTCGCTTCCAGTCTGGCCTTCGTTGTAGCAGTTGTCGTACTTTAGATAATCTACACCCCAGCTTGCAAAGGCATTTGCGTCATCGGTTTCAACTCCCAGACTCGCGGAATAGCCGGCACACTGCCGATTCGCTCGTCAATAAGGGGCCCACTGTCACCAATTGAAAGAAATGATGCCCGGAGAAACTTACCGTGAAGGTGCCGGCAGAAGAGTACATGCCAAAGCCGAAGCCCTGAGCATGTAATTTATCAGCGACATCAGCCATGCCGTTGGGGAATTTGACGCCGTCCGCTTTCAGCATGTTGTTTTCATCTCGGCCATCGGACCAGCAGTCATCGACGACGACGTAGTGGTAACCAAGATCCTGAAGACCCAAGTACTTGATGCTCGAAGCCGTGTCCAGGACAAGACCCTCATTCACGTCGCAACCAAAAGCATTCCAGTTATCTGCAGGCAGCCGATGTGAGTGAAATAGAAATTTTGGGTAGGGCTGAAGAGGCAAGGGAACGTACTCCACCCCATCTGTGGGGTGATCGCTAAACCATTGTCCACTGCCATCGCCTTAGCGACCAGCAGAGCGGCTGGGAGCCATGCCGAGAAGCTGGCCATTGTGAGATGAGTGTGCCGGAAGGGGTTTAAAAAATCGAACGTAGAACAACAGCCGTTGCACAAGAGACAAAGGTCGGAGAAGTGGACTGGGTGAAGGTGGCTGTCAATTCACGGGAAGGCGTAGAGTGTTTATATATGGAGTATCATTAAGCTCACCCCCCTGACCTAGAAGATGCGGGGGAAATATATATTGTCTGGGCGTTTTACCCTGATAGCGGGCAGCGGGAATGCGCGCTTCTCTGTTTACCATCTCTAGAGCACTGGGAAGGGAGCCGTTTGCAGTTAAGTCGGGGGTATGATGAGGGTGCATCTCGAACGTTGTAGGCCCCACCGGATTTTAATGTCTCCCCAGATTAATATCAAAAACCATGGTGATCAGACCCTTGTTTGCTCCGTGTGGAGTATATGTATCGCCTGAAGAGTCTTAAAATAATAATATCTCCTAGCACACTCGAGGTAAGGGGCGGGGAACTGGTCAAAAAGGGGAATAGTGCCTGGGAGTGAGGTTCGCGGGAGTAAGCCAAACAGCTGGTCGTGAGCCAGAGCTCGGTCCATCTTGAAACCATGAGCAAAACAAACTTGAACGTGAAGTATCGGCTCTCTTTGTGCCTGCCTTGCGCAAGACTTGCCGAGCAAGAAGCCGGCTCGGGGGGATAATTCGAGATAATTAGCGAGATAAATTCCGGCGGAACAATCAAGCCTGTAGCTGCAAATATGATCAGTGTCTAATGTTTTCAAGGAAACTGTGTATAGTACAGGTCAGTGAAGTTGAGAGGGTTGGGGATCGGCTAATTAATGTCAATCGGCTAATTAATTCTGTTGCGGCCCGCGGGAATAAAGGGGTCAGGGGGGACTATTGAACCCTGGGGAAGGAGAAGATTCTATTACTTTGACCGATGGATCACTCTTCGGTTGTGTGGTGTAATGGTTAGCACGCTGGATTCTGAAAGGAACGAGTTCCTCAGTTCTTGAAACTTTCCAGCAATCGCGGTTCGATTCCGCGCACGACCTTTTTTTTCTTCGTGATTTTTTTTGATTTTTTTGTGATGCTTTTTCAGTGTGAGATTGAACCTCGGCAGGAGCCTTACCCCTGAGAAGGAACCACTATTCCTAATTAGTGCTAGTTCCGGGGTTAATAATAAGCTTAATGAGAAGGTGCAGCTCTGATACAATGACGTCACTTCGACGATGCTCTTGCTTCAATATCAAGTCCAGAAGAAGAAGAAGATCTTCTACTATCAAAGCACAACCTAAAGCGAAGGGGGGCTACTATGCAAAGATATTCCACGTTGTTGCGAGCCAGAAGACGACCCAATTAATTCTTTCTATCTCTTATCTCCTTTCAGCATGTCTATCTCAGTATCCACTCCCACGCTCATCTCTTCAACACCGGATCTGAAGGCGTTTCTTTCCTCTCTTCCAACTCCTAGCACCCTCTATCTGGACCTAGAAGGGAAGTCCTTGAGCAGGTTCGGTACTATTTCGCTCATTACTATCCTGGTTCATCCACAAAAGGTGGTACGACTCATCGACGTCACCACCCTTGGCAAATCTGCCTTCACAACCGCTGCAGACAACAACAGGAGCCTTAAATCAATCTTGGAAGATCCAGATACCCCCAAATATATTTGGGACGTAAGGAATGATGCCGACGCATTGTGGGCTCTTTACGATGTCGGTCTCGCTGGCGTTATCGACCTCCAACTTCTCGAAAACGCATCCCGCCCCGGGGATAAAACGTATATACACGGGCTAGATAAATGTGTCCAGGCCGACCTGAAACTTGGGTTTATGGAGCTTCATCGTTGGATCCGCACGAAAAAGGACATTCAGAACCTCATGCCTTCTAATGTTTTCGCTTCCCGGCCAATGGATGACAAGACGGTTCAATACTGCGTGAACGACGTTATTCACTTGCCCACTTTGCACACCCGTTACTTGAAACGCCTACAGGGCGGTTGGCTTACTAGAGTGGTGGAGCAGAGCGTACGCCGTGTGGAAGAGGCTCATTCACCGGGATATGACCCTCAGTCGCTCGGAAAGAAGCTTGGACCCTGGGGCTCGGGGACCGAGAAGAAAGTTGTGACAGTGGACGAGATGTGCGACATGCTGGAGGAGGAGAGAGAGGATAACCTTGCCCGAGGCATGTTTGATGAAGATGAGGTGGGATATTATGTTTATGATTATTATGATGATTATGTTGACGAGCGGATGAATTGTGCCGATGGAGCGGTGTTCCCCGAAGCGTTTGACAGTTGTTGGGATAAAAATTCCTGATTACCTTCTTTAACATACACATGGAGTATGCTGAGCAAGATATCAGATCAAACTCACAATGCTCCTTCGCCATGGGAGGAGGGTCATTCTTACAATCCCGTTCTCCCGAGGCAGCTCTATTCTCGAGTGTGGGCGAATAAGAATACTAATAGCTCAAAATAAAAATGCAATAACTACTCTATCGTATTGGCATAAAGTGTCCATGATTCCAGCATTTTCTGTGTGCATGTCGAACCTGTCACATATCTCCCCCAGCATCATCCCAAGAAAGTATAATGTAAGACCTCGTCTGCAATACTAATCCTCATCCTCCAATATGTTCAGGGACTTGACAACAGCACTAATGTCCGTAATCTCACCTGTCAGGCAAGATTGCGTGAGATCATCCAGATCAACATCAAGAGCGCTCTCAAGTATGATACTACTTCCCGTGTAAGGACCATCTCCGGCTGTAGCGGTAAACTGAATCCCGTCCGGAATGCTAATCTCAAATGTTCCCCTCACTCTTGTAGCCGGACTATCATCACCGACCTCTATTCTGAGTTCCCCACTCGCCTCGCCATTGTGTATACTGAGCACAGGGTCACAACCTCCCGCTCCGTGGCCATCAATAGATATGTTAACGGCGGACACTTGCACTTCCGGGTCCGTAGAGGTACAGGAAGTGGCTACTCCTTGGATGGAGACGGAATGGACCTCAGGTCCATTGTTGCTGAGACCGGGCTTGAAACTCGCTTGAAGCTTGCCGCCGGTGCAGGAGACGTCGGCCGTGGCAAAAGACGAAAGAGCAAGAGCCATCATGCTCACAGAGGCAATGGTGGATTTCATTTTCTATCCATTCAATCAGCTATTTTATTCCATGAATGCAGGTGCATGGAATGTTTGTTGTGTGGTTCCTACCTCAAAGATGAGATCTTAATTGAATGTCAAATGAAATCAAAGGGCCGAGAGAGTAATCGGTTCAGAACAAGGGCTCGAGAGTGGGCTAAAGAATGGGGAGCTGAGTCGGGCGCGAAGATCGAGAGGTTTCTATGAGAAGGGAACGGAGAAGTATGCGAAGAGAGATACCTGAGAAAGTCGAAAGCGATACGAGTATGTTTGAGGCTAATTTCTGTGTGCACTAAGCCGAATGATGTGAGGAGCTTGAGAATCAACCCGAAGAGAGGAAGTTAACCCCCTTTTATGCACTCTCTGGTAGAAAGTGGCTGGCTTGACTTGGCCGACGGTCAAGCCAGCCCCTTTGTCATAGCTGCCATTCATGACACAGCTCTGCGACGAGATTCTCATAGTGGCCGCTGTTAATTCGACTTGTGTGTGATCTTGCATTGCCAGCGCATGGCATGTTGCTAAGTTGAAAACTATTGAATAATAGCAAGAACTCAATTTCAGCAAGACTCAAAATTGAGACGAAGCTCATCTTTGAATTAACTCAGAAAAGAGACACGATCAGCGATTTTCTCGTCTGCGAATTGTCAACAATTAGTGCGTATTGCTTTTTTTCAATTGCATCGTGTATCATTCGATCTATCAGTTTCACCTCTTCATCCAAACGCTTCTCATGCTAAAGCGGTGAAAGAGATGTGCTCAACCAAGAGAGCACAAGGGAAGAAATTCGTAGAGGGAACTGTCAGGACGAAGAGAAGAAAAACAATCAACAGAAAATAGCATCAAGAATGGTGCTAGACAATCAAAAGTCAATGTGATGAACGAGAGAACTCGGTCTCAGCCAATCTAGACAATATGAAATCCCGAAAGAATCGAAACGAATAGCTGAAATGCTCGTAAAACTGTTTCCTCTTCCATGGTGCTTAATGGTTCAAACTATCTCAGTCGAGGAGAAACTATCTTGATGAGAGCGCTTCGGAATAAAGATGATTCATGTCCGGCTAGACTAGTCCCGAAAAGGCTCTCGGATCGGATTAAAACCTTTTCTTCTCCGGACCGGGAGTAATATTGACCAGGAGACAACCGACTCAGACAGCATAGCCAACCCTCTTGTAGACCAACAGCAGCACACCTTCACTTTGTCTAAGGAACCACTCTCCTTGGATTCCCAAGCCCAACCCCCTAAGGTGGTGTAAACTCCATGCAAGCCGGCTATCCTCAATTTACTCCCAAATCCTAACAAGAATCTTGGTGGAACTGCAATAACTAGGTACTCCATCGTATTGGCATAAAGCGTTCATGATTCCACCATTAGGTCTAACTCGTGAGGATTATAAAGTCTCTGTAATTACCCCCAAACCCTCCAAGGGCGCCTGGACCTATTGAATGAGATTTAGTAGGGTGAAGCCCGTGTTCCGGGAATCTCTTGAAAACTCACCCATGCGTGGAATCCCGTTATTCTAGTCGGACCAGATATCGCAATCGTAGATTGCTGCACCCAAGCTGACGATGATTTTCCCGGTGGAAAGCAGGCAGATCGGCCATAGTTTGTGTGAACCTTTCATGAGAGTGAGTGAGGGGGGGTCAAAACCGGATAGATATGGAAGATTCTCACCTCAAAACATTGACAAGTATCGAATCTACGCTGAAACCGTCCAACAACCACGGAGGTGATGTATTCTCCCGAGGGTCCGTCAATGGTGAACGCGACTTTCTCCGCTGGAATACTTCCTTTTACGCGACGTGCTCCTCCAAGGAACTCTCGCTCCCGATGTGAAAATGGGCCGCTTGGGCCAATGGAAGAATTTTGGATATCTTGGTTGTACTCGATCTCAATGTTAGCACATCTATCATGATTGATAACCCAGACCGACAGAGAAATCAAGTTCCGTAGATGATCCCCGAAGTAGAGGTAGCGAATTGGGGGGTGTAATCCTATTAAATCCTGCCTCAACTGTAAGTGTCTCTCGTTCAAGGACAATTTTTCGCCTGGTATATCTGGAAACCAAGGTAAAGTATCCCGCAAATGTTCCCTATACTCATGTTCCTCCTGTGTTGTTTTATATACTTGGGGCACGCCCAAGGAGACCAATTTGAGGCCCTGGGACAAGAAATATCAGTCGAAGGTTTACCGATTTATTAAAACAACTTACATCAAAACCCCCCTTCAACGTTAACACCCGGCCAGGTTGAAAGAGCAGGCGCATTCGAGAAAATCCTCTGGACTCTCCGGCCCAATTGGACACCTTTCCGGAAACCGAGATAGCCGCGATAGCGTGTATACCCCTTTTGCTAATAGCTAGCTGAAATCCGTGCAACCCGTGGGCCCAATCTGAGCCTGAAAGACCAATACATTCTTCCTGGCTATGTAAAATATAGCCAAGACTATGCACGTGGCCATCACACCCGACAAAGCGAAGCCCCGTCACGAATCTGATACCAGCGAATTGAACGGAAGAGACAAAAACCTCATAAACAGGTAGCGAGATTTTGGCAGTGCAGGCAAACAGTGCCTTACTACCAAATCGGAAGAAATCTCTTCTATCTAAAATAGGCCCCCCGGCGCATCTCCAGTTTTCTCTTGCCTCGGGTAGTTTCGGTTCATAGAAGGTACGAGCCCGGGTGCCTTTGAGCTGAAGGCCCGAAAACAAGGAGAGGGCGTTCACAAGAGGCTGAATAACATCCCATATTCTTTTCCGGTTCCGTAGGGACGGGTCCGTAGATCGTTTTAGACCAGTGTACAAGGTCTTCCAGTTCAGTGAATGTATTCCCTTTCTCAAATTGCCCCGTGCTTCAAAAATGAAGGAGAACTCAAACCCGCTATCAAATCTGGAAGCCCAAAAGGACTG